TGTCGTATTTCTAGCGCTTGCTCCCACGAGAGATGGAATCTCTTCAACAACGGTGATTTCTTTTTTTTCTTCGCTCATTGTAGTAATTCTCAATATTCCAGCCGATGCCCGATGGGCCCAGAAGGGAGTGACTGTTGCTGGAGGTCATGGAAAAGGCAGTGGCACCAATCAACTCTACTACCCTCGGGGTCTCTTCGTTGATGATGATCAAACGATAGTCATCGCTGACTGCGACAATCATCGTATCATCCAATGGAAGATGGGTGATATAAAGGGACAAGTAGTAGCTGGTGTCAATGGCCGAGGAAATCGATTGGATCAATTGAATTGTCCAACTGATGTGTTGATCGACAAAGAGACGGATAGTCTCATTATTTGTGATCGAGAGAATCGACGAGTCGTTCGATGGTCTCGTCGTAGTGGTACAACACAAGGAGAAATCCTCATCGACAACATCGCTTGTTGCGGATTGGCCATGGATGATCAGAGATATCTCTACATCTCTGACACTGACAAACATGAAGTGAGACGATATCAAATAGGAGACAAGAATGGAACTCTTGTGGCTGGTGGCAATGGCAAAGGTGTTGGTCTCAATCAACTCAACTGTCCGTACTACATCTTTGTCGATCAACAACAGACTGTCTACGTGTCAGATTGGAACAATCATCGTGTAATGAAATGGAATAAAGGTGCAAAAGAAGGAATTGTCGTCGCTGGAGGTCAAGGCCAAGGGAATGCTCTGACACAATTGTCGTGTCCTCAAGGACTATTCGTCGATACATTGGGTACCATCTATGTAGCAGACTCGGTGAATGATAGAGTGATGCGTTGGCCTAAAGGAGCGAAACAGGACACTGTCATTGTGGGTGGAAATGGTGAAGGAGAAGGAGCAAATCAGTTCAAGGTTCCCATCGGTTTGTCCTTCGATCTACATGGCAATCTCTATGTCGTCGATTGGAACAATCATCGTGTTCAACGCTTTTCAATCGAATAGACTCGTCGTGATTGATTTTTTTTGCGTTCCTTTCTTTTCAAATAAACCCCATTGAATTGATGAAATGAATGGCTTATTCTATTCGCGCGCGCGCGACCAGGAACCATCGTGGCGGAGCCGTGGCGAGCGTAACGCTCATGCACGCACAGGACAGACTCATATCATTCATACCCTTCCCGCGAGAGATATTCCAATGAGTCTGAATAAGCCTGGTCGTGTGCCACGGATACCAAGACAGTTCCTGGCCGGGTTTTTAGGGCCTACCCGGAAGGCCTGTAACTAACGGGGACCTAATCTCAATCGACATAACTCACCCCTTTCCCCTACTAACACTCTTTTCTCAGTCACTCTATTCCTCTCCTCAATCTCAATATTACACTATCTAATCTCATCTCCCTCTCCCCTATTCTATCTCAAAAAAAAAACATTACTCATCCTGTTTTGATGTTGATTACGGCGCGATGATATTGAGAACTAGAAAGAACAAGAAAAAAAATTAATTTAATGTTATATAATGAAAAAAAAAGAATGAGTTAACTTACCCCACTGTTATCTACTCATAGTTGAAAATATTCATCGAACCTAAGACAAAAGAAAAAATAAATAAATTAAAATGATTATAGGAGGTCTTACTTCACCATCCTTATAATCGTTAAATAAAAAAAGAAAAAAAATTAAAACTGATATCTACATTTTTTTTTATTGTGTGGCTTGATCTTGATTTGATTAATTTTGCATTATCGAGGCCAATCTAAAACAGAAAAAGAAAAATGATTATTATTTGATTCAAAAATTTGAATGATTTTACATAGGAAATCATTCCTATATATACCTTGAAAAATCATTTTTTTCTCTCGTCGAAAATGAATTAAAAGTTGATTTCAAAAAGGTTAATTGATATACATATTTCATTGTACATGTTGATCATTGATCGTCAATGATAACAACATGAACAATGATTTATGGACGAGCCAAAAGTCAAAAAAAAAAAGAAAATTCCTTTCTTAACATATATTTCTTTCCTTTCTCTCTTGTTAACATTAACATATACAGTAAAACCTCTTTAATCTGAGCGCCATCGGGACCGGCAAAAAGTGGTCAGTTTAAGGAGGTGCTCATTATTCGGAGATTTGCAGATTCTCTCA